TTGTCATGGAAAAGTATAATAAAACAACAATTACAGACACATAACTGTTTCAAGAGTACCTTAATGTGAATTTTTCACAGAGCTCATTTCAGTGGAGTCAGTCCTTAACAACTGTCTTCTCATTCTGTGTGAAGATGAGCACTCTCTCCGTAGCCTGTGGCTGAAATGTGGATTTCCTTTTAGGGACCGTTGACATTCATGGACGTGGCCATAGAGTTCTCTCAGGAGGAGTGGAAATGCCTGGACCTTGCTCAGAGGACTTTATACAAGGATGTGATGTTGGAGAACTACAGGAACCTGGTCTCCCTGGGTGAGGATAATGTCCCTCCAGAAGTTGGGCTCTGCCCTGGTGGATCTCTGCATTGTCTCTTGGGAGCCTCTTGGGAGCTCCTACATTGCTTGACTGAGATTGAAACCTTGTTGACTCAAAATTGAAAAGCTCCATTATACTTTGTGGAATTGAAACATCCCCCTTCTTCCGGTGTTGTGCTCCCTTCACGATTCCTCATTGGTGGCACTAGGGCTGAAGTATGCATGAAACCTTATGACAAATTTTAAAAATATGCAATTTCCTGTTTCCCCCCCTTGTGCTTTTGGTTCTGTAGTTCTCGGAAGGGGGCTTGATGTCTGTGTGTTGCACTGTTTCCTAAGCATTCAGAAAGAGGCAGTCAGTGGATGAATTTGTGAAATGCTATTTTTGATTCATTTGTAAATATCCTCTCTCCTACCTAAATATAGGGCTTGGCCTTGAAAGATGCCATAGCATGCATTTATTCTTTCTTTTTATAAATAGGAGTGGGTCTTCCTGACCTGAGTGTTGTCTCCATGTTGGAGCAAAAGAGAGAACCCTGGACTCTGCAGAGTGAAGAGAAAATAGCAAGGGATCCAGATGGCAGGGAATGCATCAAAGGTGTGAACACAGGTAAGAGCTCGGGTGGGCAGAGGAGAGGCCCCATAATGTTTGTTTTTTGAGACAGTGTCTCACTCTGTCATCCAGACTAAGTGTAGTGGCAATCATAGCTCACTGCAGCCTTGAATTCCTGGACTCAAGGTATCCTCCTGGCTGCATCCAGTGTTGGGATTGCAGGCATGAGCCACTGTACCCTGCAAAGCCACACTCTTAGATAGTGTTTGGGAAACTCTCTGACAGTGGGAGAATTCTGAGGGAAAACAAAAGTTGAAGTCTTGTGAGTTCTGAACAGGCATTTTTCTTTATTTTCCTATTTATTTTTGGAAATAGTGTCTCTCTCACATCACCCAAGCCAGAGTCCAGTGGCATGATTACAACTTGCTGCATCCTTGACTTTCTGGGCTCAGGGAATTCTTCCACTGCAGCCTTCTGAATAGGTGGGACTACAGGTGTACGCCACCATGCTTGGCTAATTTTTTGTATTTTTTGTGGAGATGGCGTTTCACCCAGGCTGCTCTCGAACTCCTGGCCTCAAGCAATCCACCTGCCTCAGCTTCCCAAAGTGTTAGGATTACAGATGTGAGCCACCATACCCAGCAAGGTGTGTTGTTTAATTGGTACATATTTGTGGATCGTTAAATTTTTCTTCTTTTGGCTGGGCAGAGTGGCTCATGCCTGTAATCCCAGCATTTTGGGAGGCCGAGGCAGGCAGATCACTTGAGGCCAGGCGTTCAAGATCAGCCTGGCCAACATGGTGAAACCCTGTCTCTACTAAAAGTGCAAAAATCAGCAGGGTGTAATGGCAGGCACCTGTAATCCTAGCTACTCAGGAGGCTGAGACAGGAGAATC